CCCCCCCCCACCCCCCCACAAAAGCACTGGCTAATGGCACACCAGTGTCATGTGACTTACCTCTTAAAGGGACGCTGTTCCAATGTAATGTACACCGGCAGAAATGCATGATAATTCTGCTGGAAGTCACTGGGAAGGCCAATATTTGTTGCCCATCCCAATCGCCCTCGAGCTGAGGGCCCAGCTCAAACATTTCAGAGTCATCCACGTCGCTGCGGGTCTGGAGTCACGTGTAGACTGGACAAGTTAAAGATGGCAGAGTTCCTTTCCTGAAGGACGTTGGTGAGTCTCTACGAGGTCTGTTTTGGCAATACTTGATGATCCCACGTACTCTCAGTCCACCTTCGCTCCCTCTCTCTTCCTCATTCTCTCCCTTTTCCTTGTCCTTCTCTTTCTTCTCACCCTCACTCTCTCTCTTTCTCTGTCTGTCTCTCTCCGAATCCTTCTCTCTCTCTCTCTCCGTCTCCGTTCCTCCTTTCCATTTGATCCCCTCTCTTCTTGATTGTAGACACCGCTGCCGGTGCGATATGGTCTGAGTATTCCTCTTTTGTCAGCCCAACGCATAAAAACGGGATCCTTACTGAGGCGGATGTCTTGAAGTTTATTAGCAACCCGGTTTATTCATTCATGGGATGTGGTGGTACTGGTGGAGGCCTGCAATCATTGTCTGTCTCAAGTTGCCTTTGCACTGAAGGTGTGAATCAGAGCCGACCCCAATTACTGTGGGCCTGGAGTCACGTGTAGGCCAGGCCAGGTAAGGGCAACAGAGATCCTTCCCTGAAGGCCATGGGTGAACCAGATGGGTTGTTACAGCAACCAGTGGTAGTTGCCATGGTCACCATGACCACGTCAGATGGTGATGGGGCTAGCAAACGCCACCCCCCCACCCCCCACACTCCCCCCCCTCCACCCCCCATACACCCCTGAGGAGACGGGTTCAAATCTCGCTCCTCTGGGGCCGACAATGCTGAAGGTGAGGTGAGGAGTTTTATTGTGGTAAGGAGTCACGTTGTCATGACGTTACGGGGCTACCTTAAAGGGACAGGCCTGTCTGTGTGCAAACGCATCCCTGTCCCATTGCAGGTTCCTCTCCCGACTGCAGGGAGACTGATGTGACCAGAAAGTCAATATCTTCCCCTCTCTGTCTCTCTCTCTCTCCCTCCGTTCCTGTTTAATACTTTGCAGGAAGACCTATTGCAACCAGAGACTGAAGATCCTGAACTCGAAGTTCCACCTCCACTTGCTGGTCAACGAGAAGAAAGAGTTTGTTGACTTGCTAGTGGCCTCACACAGTGACTTCTACAATGTGGCCAAGGTAAAGGTGTGGCTCGGGGTGGGGGGCCCGGGGGGTGTTCGAGGATGGGCCAATGGGGGTGGGGAGTGAGGTTAGGAGATGAGTCACATAGTGTCTTCAGGAGGAATTAAGAACTCTGCAGGCGCATCGACTCCTGAATATTAACTCTGCCTTTGCTACTCTCTCTCCCGCTCTTTATCTCTCTATCTCCATCCGTCTCTCCCCTCTCTCTCTCTCTGTCCCTGCGCCTGACATTTCGTGCCCCCCTTGTTGTTTTCCTCTGTGCCTTTCTCTCTCTCTCCGTCTCTTTCTTTCTCCCCATCTCCCACCTCTTGCCCTGTCTTCCTCCCTCTGTCTTTCACTCTCTCGATCTCTGTCACTGAGTAGACTGATGAGTGGACATCACTAACTTGAAATAACATTGATGTTTCTGCGCAGCCCCTGTGCTGCTAATAACCTCAAGCGCCTCGCTCTGTCTGAGCACTCTACAACCCTGAATGTCCCTGTTTGCGATGATCTGCCTGCATTGCTCGCAAAACAAGAGCTTTCCACTGTACTTAGGTTCGCATGATGAGAATAAATCAAATCAAATTAAATCTTTCACTCTCTGCCTCAACGTTTCTCTTTGTCCCGGTTTGTGTTTTCCTCTGTCTCTTTAATTCTGTCTGTTTCTCTCTCTCTCTTTCTCTCTCTCTCTCTCTCCTCTCGCTCCCGTTCCCCAATCTCACTCTCTCTCCCCTCCACCCCGCCTCACCCCCTTTCCTTCGAAGCCAAACCAGACACGAGGTGGATAGTGTGACCACAAGAAGAGGGGAAAGAGGATCAACTGACGGCACATGTTAGAGTTGGGGGGGGAGCGGTAGCGTTGGGGGCTACTGGGGCAGGTTACGGTGAGATGGGGGTTTAATTAAAGCAACCAAACCTTACTGTCCAAAACGCAAAGAACTAGCCATGTTGGCAATTTAAAACAGAAACAGGAGTCGTCGTGGACCCGAAGCATTAACTCTGTTTCTCTCTCTCCCTCTGTAGATGCCTCCAAACTAGTTGAGTTTCTCCAGCAATTTCTGTTTTTGTTAGCAACTTACTGTTACCCCTCACTGGGACAGCCCTCCTGAAATCAAGCCTCACTAATCCCTGGGTTGTCACCTAAGTTAAGGAACTAGTAAAAAGATTTCCAAGTTGCCTCCCTTTTACATTAATAGAATGCACAGACCAGGTCTCTGTCCTTATCAAAACTGTCATTATTTTGTGACGAGCAAGTAGTTTCTAGCTACAGATAATTACTTATGATCTACCAGGATGTCGCCGGGCCTTCGAGGGTTGAGTTACAGGGAGAGGCTGGATACACTGGGACTTTTTTCACTGGAGCGTAGGAGGCGGAGGTGTGACCTTACAGAGGTTTATAAAATCATGAGGGGTGTAGATAGGGTTAGTGATTGGTGCCCTTTCCCTAGGGTGGGTTGTGGGGGGTGGGGGGGGGGGCAGTGATTTCAAGACCAAGGGGCTCATTTTTAAGGTGAGAGGAGAAAAGATTTTAAAAAAGGCACGAGGAGTAAATTTTTATACACAGAGGGTGGTTCGCGTGTGGAAGGAACCTCCCGAGGAAGTGGTGGATGTGGGTACAATTATAATGTTTAAGAGACATTTGGATGAGTACAGGAATAGGGAAAGGTTTGGAGGAATATGGGTCAGGAGCAGGTGGGGTGGTGGGGGGGGAGGCTAGTTTAGTTTGGGATTATGTTCGGCATAGACTGGTTGGGCCGAAGGGTCTGTTTCCGTGCTGCGTGACTCTATGACTATACTCTCCCATACTCCTCCACACTATTTCTATCCAAAAAACCATCCATTTCCCCTCTCCAACAACTTATTGAAGACGAAAACCGAAAGAACTGTGGATGCTGTAAATCAGGAACAAAAACAGAAGTTGCTGGAAAAGCTCAGCAGGTCTGGCAGCGTCCGTGAAGGGAAAAACAGAGTTAACATTTCGGGTCCGGTGACCCTTCCTCAGAACTCAGAAATTTATTGAAGATGTATGCTAGGAAGGAGACTGAGGCTGAGGATTTCAGTTAAATGACTAATTAAATACTAACCACCTTATAAAAGCCTGCCCACACACACTCATACAAACACAAACACACAGACACAAAAGGAAGGAGTTGGTGTTATGGATGGATTGAAAGACTGAGAAGGCAGTTCTATGGTCCCTGTCTCCACGGTTCACTGAGATCATGCGTTTGGGATCTCCACGCTTGCTGCTCACCGATCTCTCCTCGCCGCTGGCTTGCAGGAGGCACACAGTGACAGTTTCACAACTGGTAAAGCCTCTTTAAAACCGAAAGCACTGCGGAGGCTGGAAATCAGAAACGAAAACAGAATTTGCTGGAAAAGCTCAACAGGTCCGGCGGCATCCGTGGAGGGAAATCAGAGTTAACGTTTTGGTTCCGGCGACCCTTCCACAGTTCTGAACCGAAGCGTTAAACCCTGATTTCTCTCTCCACAGATGCTGCCAGACCTGCTGAGATTTCCCAGCAACTTCTGTTTCTTTCGTTACAAAAATCTTTTAAAGTCTGGTTTAAGGTCGCAGCTCTTAGCAACAGGTGAGAGAAAGTGCACCGGCTTTCTCCAGGCTTTTTGTTTTGCTGCAGCAAAGGATAAAACTCTCCCTTTCTGGAGCTCCCGGCCGCATCGTTCACTCCCACAAGCTGCACACCTATCTGAGAGCCAATCACGTCGCGGTTGGCAGGCAGAAGCCCTTCGTCATTGGTCAGTATGATGGTGATCAGTTATCAATCAGCTCCTCGTCACCAGTGGAGTCTTCCTTTGCGCTCAACTCTTGGCTTCAGGTGATCGGCAGTAACCTCCCCTCCTCTCCTGCCCCAACACCCCTCCACTGCTTAACCAGGCAGCATTGTATACACTGTTTCCAATGAATGATGGCATCTTGCTTTGAGAAGGTGCACCGACCCCCCTCTATAACCTGTGACGTTTTCCCATTCCAATCCACGGCCTACAGCGCGGGAGAATTGAAAAGATACAGTCTGTGCATGACCCTCGAGCCTAACCTCTCTCTCTCTGTCTGCTGGCCGACCCACAACACGAACCCCTCACGCCCCCAAGCTCAGGCTCCCTCCCGACGATAAATTCAGACTTTCAAGAGGGGACGGTTATTTGGACAGTGGTAGCGTGTGGGAGATTGAGTACGAAATTGGCAACAGGTAATGCAGAGCCAGTATCGGTGCCATGGGCTGAAGTTCCGCGACTCTGTGAAATAAAGGATGTCCCTCACGGGACATGGGATAAAGAGTGTACCTGAAGTACGATGTCCTATATACGGTGTAGTTGGTGACTGTCCCCTCTAGCATCTGGGAATATCCCTCCCTCTGTGTCTGACAGGTAGACACCCATATCCACGCGGCAGCCTGCATGAACCAGAGGAACCTCCTGCAATTCATCCGGAAAACGTACGAGCAGGATTTGGAGCGGGTGGTCCAGGAGACCGGTGGGAAGAAGACCACACTCCGCGAGCTCTTCCAGAAGCTCCAACTGAACCCGGATAACTTGGACCTCGATGCACTCAACATGCGCGCGGTGAGTGACACCACGTAACGTCAGCAACACACCCCGATATCGGGCCAGGCCGAGGCCTCGGTTAGCCCGATCACGCAGCAGGAGAGGCCCCAGGCTTCAGTCTCGGCCTAGTGATTCACCTGTTCACGTATGGAACTCACCCTCTCACGCACTCACAGACATACACACACTCCCCCATCACACACACTCACACTCACACACACTCCCCCATCACACACACTCACACTCACACTCACACACACTCACACTCACACACACTCACACTCACACACACTCCCCCATCACACACACTCACACTCACACACACTCACACACACACACACTCCCCCATCACACACACTCACACTCACACACACACACACACACTCCCCCATCACACACACTCACACTCACACACACACTCACACTCCCCCATCACACACACTCACACTCCCCCATCACACACA